GAAGGTTTTTCTGACATATGTATTTAAATCCACTCTTTTTTGTTCACTTCTTAAACTCAAAATTTTGTGTGACTGTGCACATTATGCAGTTTATAATTTCTACATCTTTTAGGACAATTAGACTCATTACATAATACATCAATTCATTTGCTTTTTTCCAGAATAATTAGGCAGATTCCAGAAAACACATTATGGTGTTAGGGAAGTTTACTTCTCACTTTTTATCTTTACAGGTATCTGTCTGAAAAGATAAAAAGTGAGGAGTAAACTTCCCTAACACCATAATTTCCTTGTGTACAGATTGGAAACAAAACTGACCTACATCCTACCTTTCGCTGATGTGTGTCACGTTTCCAGGGGACTTGTCAACCAAAGGGAGTTCCTTCCCCGTGTTTGTTTTACCTAACCTGACCTTTTCCCAACAGATGCCTTTAATTTTTTCTTGCTTTGTGATGAGAGTGCAGTGTGCTTAAAATAAAAACAACTCAAGGGATAAGCGGCATGTTTCTGCACAGTTTCCTCTTTGGCGTCATCAGCATTAAGTAATATCAGATGAACCGTATTGGTACAGAGGCCCAATTGGTTTCCCAGTATTTGGCTGTAGCAGGTGAGGAAATTGGAAAAAGGTGCCACGGGGGAGAATAGCTCGGCACCAACGCAACAGGGACCTTTAGTAGGATTAAGTATGGCTGTTTCATATCTATTTGGAAGACAGCAACGTGATGATGTTGCCTAATCAGACTATCTTTTTTGCAGTAGGTAAAAGATCAGTGAGAGGTCAGAGGAGCTGTGTCATTTTTTTTGAAGTATCAAGTTTTCCCACAAGACTCAAATAAAGCAATCCAAAAAATCTGACCTTTGCTGAAGTTAGCACTGGCTCCCCTCTCCAGTAGGAGTTTGGCCAGGTCATAGTTTGCCATGTTGACAGCACACATAAGTAGACTCCAACCAAAACCAAGCCTGGTCTCCACATCCATGCCTTTGCATAAAAAAGAGGGCAAAAACCAATGTATTCAAAATGAACAAAAATATTGCTTTTATAGACATTAAATATTTGAATTTGGCTTTAAAAAAAAAAAAACGTATTTCGACAGTACTCACCGTTGTCCAACAACTTTTCAACTGTTTTGATGTCTCCCTTACTGATGGCCTTTTTCAACATAAACACATTATCTTCTACATGGCTGATGAGATTCTGTAAAAATAGATTGAATTGTCAATGCAGTGATCCAGAAATGTTTAAAAAGTTTGTGTATATGTTCACTATTTCCCCCCATTTTCTTTTATTTTTTCGGGAGGAGATACCAAAAAGGATATGGAACTACAATCCCATGTCAATAACTTTGAACTTTACTCATAACTAATCAATTAGAACGTGCCACTGTATTTACACTCGGGCCTTTAGACAGGAATGTGTTAATGCGGACATCTCAGGACTCGACTCACACTTTAACGATTTAAAACTTGAAACCAGACTAGAACCTGACCTGTATAAACCCGTCCACATTTACCACATTAACTAATGAACGCTGCTCGTGATAACTGTAACAAAAAACACCTGTGTTTGAGTCCACATACATGTAGTGGCCATTTTTAAATGTAAGTACTTAACTGGCAATAATTATTTTTATTTTTTTTCATTCAATTTAAATAAAAATGAACTTGCCCGTAGATGTATATACAGAATTGATAAAGTGAGAAGCAAAGTGATCAAATTTAACTAATGATCTAACGGTAAACTAACGGTCGTTGGCGAAATTAGACACACCGCGTTAGCAATTTTGATAGCTCACACGCTAGCACGGATTAGTTGGCAGGGCTTCATATAAAAACAGATTAATTCACGTTTTACCGCGGTAGGCGGGAGAGGTTTCTCTAAATTGCGCCCGACATCCCACTCCTCGTCGCTGTCGTCGCTCTCTTCTCCGGCGGGAAAAGCGTACTCTATTAAGCCGTCCATGTTGGCCACGGACAGTTCAGCTACAATGGGCGAGGGCGGCAGACAACAGCCCGAGGAGAGCGAGGGCGTTTCAGACGAAACTCCCCAATAGTTTTTGATTTTCTCCGTTTGAGATATTTAATATGGTTGTATAAAACACTAAACATACATCTTCTTTTCTTCTTTTTCTTTCGGCTTTGTCCCTTTTTTTTTCAAAACACTAAACATACATCAATCGTGTTGTACTCAGGTCATTTATACTATGCGAGTTTGACAGGTAATTTACATTTAAATGCTAGATTAATGCTAAATATGAATCCCTAGAACAAGGGTCACCAACCTTCCTGAAACTGAGAGCTACTTTAATGGACCTTATTAATACGAAGAGCTGCTTGTTTCGTACAGACTTCCCGAACAATGTAATAATAATAATTCGTTCTGGGACATACAATAGCAGAGACTCTTCTACCATCTTCATACCACCAGATAAATACATAATAAAAGTTGACATATATTTGGAAGAGTGTGCAGTACATAAAATGAAACATAAATGTCAAATGCATAATTACATTAGTTACATAGTAATTTCTGTCTATGCCAGAGATAAAACACAATGCGAAATTGTTGCATTCCCTTTTGAGACAGCATTTTACCGTGAGCATCACGGAGAGACTCTTAAACTACGACCACTACTGTTTAAAATCGGTACTGCACCCTTCCACTTTCATGACTTCATCACAGCCTCCGTGCAGCTGCTATCACTACTCATTCCCTTGACCTTCACACGTATCACTGCCCTAAGGTTAGCTGTATTTTAATACATTTCAGATGAATGTTTATAGAATGGAAAGTTAGGGTTTGTTTCTGCTTTGAGTAGAAGTAAAACAAGATACATGACAAGAGACATGCAGCTGTGTGACAACAGTGGGTTGTTCAGTTCAACTAAAAACTAATATATCACAATCACATTTTTAGATAACTAACTAACACTGTCTCAGCAGTGTTAATGTAGGATTTTATTCCTGATGTAATTTATTTAAATGAACAATACAGAACAATAATAAGACTAAACCCGAGTCACCAGACTAAACCCATTGTGTTACATTAACAAAGCCGTCTTGCTCTGTATTTACTTCATTTTACGCCTGTCTATTACTTTCATATGACCACACGCAGGATCTGCATCAATGAAAAAGAATGTAGATACTCATGTTAGTGCCCAGTGGAAGAGTCGTATTTTTGTATCCACATTTACCACACTTGGCTCTCTCATGACACACAGTGACGGCTGCTTAAGCGTTGACAGTGATAAGATAATTTGTGTGCGTTGAGCTGCTCAGTTAGTACTGTAGAACTTCACATTTTTTGCTATGTTCCCTCTTGGAATGTCTGGAGGTTTTGATCCTCCCTCGACTGAAACTGAACATAACCTGCAGCTGATAACAAAGTTTCATCTCCACTTAGGCGAACCGCAACTGGTGCTGATTGCATTTGTGAGTGGTGAGTGATGCCGCTGAGGTGAGTGAGATACCAGCGAGTGTGTGGGTGATGGGTGATATTCAACTGATTTGGCATCATCTGCAGTGTGGAGTGGCATTTATACATTTCCATGTCAAGTAAAGATGAGATTTAGATGTTTTTCTTTGTGTTTTCTTTAACTGTGAATGTAATTAAATTAGTAACACATAAGCAGCTATGGCTTTTAAATGTTCTATTTTATTTTTAAATGCGTATCAGAATTGGACAATGTGGTAGATTTGGTTCTTTTGCTTTTAAAGTTAGGTAAAAAAATCATATCTATGAAAAGTATGTCAGTCACTTTGAAACGCGGTGATGTTTTAATGTTTTGTTTTCTAACTCTGATTTCAGTTTTTTGTTATTATAAAAGTAAATTTTAACATTGACTAATTTAGTATTGAAAAGAAATTTGCTTTGTTACAGTGTCCACTCTTGTGGTGCATTAACTTGACACCCCACCAGGTGGCGATGTCTGCTATCTCTTGCTGCCTGGTTATGATTTTGTGAAAAGTGATTTATAATTGTTTTGTCTTGGGGGGTTCAAAGTCTGCAAGGAAGAAAAAAATGCAAACGCCCCTTCCTCAAAGCCCCACATTTATGAACACAGATGGATATTACCATCATTTTATTGTTTGTTTTTTCACTTTTAAGATGAACTTAAAATTAGCAAAAATTTCCATTGCATTCTTCAGTGTAAATAATTACAGAAACCTGAAGTCCAAAACCAGTTTAGGTTTGCACCTCCACTAACGTGCTTTGTCGCCCCCTACGGGAGACAATCATCTCACTTGGAATAACACCGACTTAGTAGTCGATTATGGAATTGTTTGATTTAAATCATGTTAAAAGTGTCAATAGTTATAGTCCTCACTTTCTAAAATCTCGTCCTTTATAAAAATGTTTTGTTTTTTTTTTACATTTTTTACATCTAAATGATTGTCAACAATAATAAATGATAAAAATGCTGCGAGGTTATCACACGTTAACCTGCCGTCGCAGCACTAGTGTTCAGATCGTGAAGTCCACAGAGGAAAACTATCTTTTATAAAGTTTCGTTTATAAATATTCATACAACACGAGTTTTGTTCATACAGTTCGTAAGTGACCAGGCTTCATCCGCTGTTGGTGAAGGTTCAGATGAACTCCTAACGGGTCTCCACGAAGGCTTGGGTCCTGGCTCCGAGGTTCGCCTTGTTTGGATCATCTGGGGTTTTTTTTGCTCCTCGACTTGTTGTTGCCACAACATGCGACGTGTGCTCGTCATGTGTGGAAATGACGTGGGACTGTGCAGGTTTTTGGCGAGCTCATAAAGGATGGACTGTCCTCTCACTGTCACACCGCGGGAGGGAGGACCAGGAGAAGAAGAGTCAGAAGAGACTAGAGGGGGGCGACCGACCGGTGAGACTCAGACTCAGAGACACCCGGGGAGGACACAGGTCCAGATACTTCAACCCTGACATCTTTTTTTTCATCTACACGGACCAACAAAGTGGAAACAGGACCAGAAGGACAGAGAACCCAGAGCAGCGTCTGGTGTATGTGGGAGCGGAGACGCGCAAATGTGAGCGCGGAGCGCGGACACGACTCAGGTGCAGAGACAGGACACTGGCGGCGCTATTAGGATGCAGAAGTCACCGGTGGAAGATGCTAACTTCCTCTCTAAGTTTTTCTTCTGGTAAGTTCTTCACCCACAAATGTACTGGTGACGACACTACCGGTTTTGTTGTGACATCAAGCTAATGTACGGACACGGACACGGACGGCGCGAAACTCCAACCGAGCAACAAGCACGCATTTTGTAGTCAATAATATTGGGCCCTTTTAATGCTAAAACAATGCTATCTTGGCTTAAATACCGTAGCCGTGACGATGAGTTACACGAGAGTTGTCACCAGAATTAAACAAAAACAGAGTTTGGTGGTAACTTTTCACTCAGCTTGAGATAAATGTCTTCAGATTTCAGTTTACTCCTGGCGGTGGTATAGCCGTTTGGCTAGCGGCCTCATGTACCAAGTGCTCAGTGTGACCCGGAGGTTTGTAACCTGTTGCACCTGCGCCACATGCAGCTCTTCAGCCCACAGTCAACACGAATTCTGACTGAGTCACAAAGTTGTGTTGCAGTGAAAAAATACATACAATAATTTAACAAAATAGAGCATCATAACATTTATTAAACTTACTTTATTTTCTTAGGTTTACTGAAAAAAACTCTCTCTGTCTCATGACATTAAAATCCTTTTCCTTTGATATTTGATAATAAACTTAATAAACAATACATATTTACTTAAATATAATATAAATATATAAATATAACGAGCTGCTCTATTAAGTTTCTGTATAGGAACATTCTGAAGAGTCCATGTGTCTGTAGATGTCCTGTCTAATGTTGTTGTTGTTGTTGTTGTTGTTGTCGTCGTCGTCGTTGTTGTTGTTGTTGTTGTTGTTGTTGTTGTTCAGGTGGACATCACCGCTGCTGAGGAAGGGCTTCAGGAAGAAGTTGGATCTGTCAGACGTGTACAAGGCTCCTTCCTTTGATCTGGCAGACAACCTCTCTGAGAGACTGGAAAGGTCGGTGTTCCTCGTCCTCAGCCTGATATTGTTGATTTATCTGAAGGTGTTTCTTGCACTAGGTTTTTTTATTTTTTATTTTTTTGCAGTAAATCTTATCTGTGAATTGCACTTTGCAGGCGGTGCTTTAGAAAGTACAGTGTGTCCAAGTAGTTGTGAGTAATATTCCCGACCTCATTGCCTCATTTCCAGGGTGTGGCAGTGGAACACAACGAGGAAAAATAGGAATCAAACCCTTGACTTTTGACACAGTCAAATGCCTAAAATAACTAAAGTTTTATAAAAGAGTGGAGTGAGATTTTAGACAGAACATTCACAGTTTTTTTTTTAATGTTTGTTGTTCAACCTCTGGGTTGAATCATACCGTAATAAATATAATAAATGCGAACGATTGTGTTCCAGAAATACAAAGGTATTTGTGGTGTAGTGCTAACACGGAGATGCTGGTGCGGCGCTGCTGTGTTTCATAAGTGCCCTTTAAATATTTGTTTACAGTAGCAGACTGTTGGCCATCACTGTCTTGAAGTCAAGTTAAAATATGGGCTGGCTCTTCACACAACCAAACCTGTGTGTTCCAAACAAATAACCAGACAACATATGATGGACAGGGGTTAACCCTTGACTTTTGTCTCTCTCTTTTTTTTTTTTTTGTTTTTATCTGTTTTGTCTCAGTGTGCAGTTTGACTTGTCCTCTCACCTTTCCTCTCTGTTATTATAACTAATAATTTTACTGTCCTAAAGTTTCTCCTTCCCTCTTATCTGCATTTTTAGTATCAACATCAAAAATGTTCATTTCAGAAGGAAATAGATAACATGTAAAAATAGTTAACATGTAAACTAATTAAGTTAAGTTAATTATTTTATCAATAATTCCCAACATTTTCTCTTATTTTGTCCTTCCTTCATGTTCCTTCTTTAAAGGACAGGATTTTTCTGGTATTCTTTTCACCTATAGAACCTCCAACAGAACCGTGTCCTGCTCTGACCTTTCCTCCTCGATCTCTGCGTCACCGTGAGCGCCGCCCACTGGTGTAGATAGGTGTTTAAAAGTCAAAGTCTTTAAAGTGCCCAGCGCCCACTGGGTGATGAATGAATGTGCAGCGACGGGTGATTTCACTCCTGTTAATCTGATCGGGGGTTCGGGGGGGGGGCAGTGAGGGACTTCTGGGAATGTGAACTTTACCTTGCATTAAAACGCTGTTTACTGTAAGCTTCTTCATCGCACTCCTGTTTCAGTTCAATACAATCAGTTTGATTTACTGGCTTAATTAAGTTTACAGGATGACGTGGTAGAACTCTGAAGTTAACACCTTATAATTCACTGTTTATATTCAACCACAAGGACCTAAGATACAAGGATCAGACGGATTCAGTCCTTTTATCTGCAGACTTGTCTTAATTGAAGGTCAAAGGTGCAGCTTTTTGCATAAAAATGTATTTGTGTTTTTATTAATTCCCCACAAATTTACTTCCCAAACCTCAGTACTGAATTATTCTTATTATACACAAATATATATATATTCTTTTTATAAGCCTTTAAGTGACTTTATTTGTGTATTAACTATTATGAAAAAAATCATTGCAATCCTTTAAATTTTATTTCTTTATTTCTTTATTTCCTTTTCGCCTCTTCTGTCCATTTTTATTGTTTCAAGACTAAATAAAAATCAGCCACACATTTAATTTCAAAATGAAAAATACTGTAGTCATTTTACAGAATGTTTTCAGTTGTTTCTTGTGGTTTTAACTGTTAAAATGCAGAAAAAAAACACATGTTGCAAATTTTCACAGTGTAACAAAGTTCAGCTGCACTGATAATAATAATAATAAAATTAAAAACTGGCCCCTGTCAAAGAAGACAGTGACAGTAGGTGTGAGCTTTAGGTCCATTCACTAATATCATCATCACTGCAGTGGGTGAAGGAGCCACGTGTGTCTCGCGAACCACAGGTTGCAGACCCCCTGGTCTTGGCTAAAATAAATAACCATAGCAACACATTGTCTGGCTCTGAGTCCTCGGCCGCAGTCGTAGGAAGACCTTAGTAAAGTTGGCAAAGACGTAGGACTGGACAAAAAGACGGGCCGCAGCCCAACTCTGCTGGCCATTGGCCGTCGGTGCAGGGTACAGGTTTTGTTTTGCTCCACTCTGTAACTGTGTTGTAACTCTGTCCTCCCTGCAGAGAATGGGACAGGGAGGTGGTGTCAGCCAAGAAGAAGCCCCGGCTGCTGAGGGCACTGGCCCGCTGCTTCTTTGCCCCGTTTGCCTTCTTCGGTGTCCTCCTGTACCTGGGGGTGAGTCTGGTCATTTAACAGGGAGGAAATTAGAAGTGGCAGAAGTTGATTTGATGTAAAAGTCAGATCAGAACATTCAAAGTTAGACATTCACACTGCCCAGGAACAAACATGTGGTGTTCAGTTCTCCGAAGGCTCGTGTGTGTGTGTGTGTAGAGCGGCTCCACAGATTGATGGTTGCGTGAGGCACAAATATCACAGACATGTCACACTGTAGTGCCATGGTTACTCCGGCAACAACAGTAGTTGTGTTCGTTGCAGTAGCTGTAGGTGCGGAGGTGACAACGACAGATGTTTAAAATGTCGTGTCTGCCTTTAGTTGACTTTTCATTTCAATATTTAATGACATTTTTATTATTTTCTTTTCACTGTATTGTCCTGAGAGGACACCTGCTGGAGAAAACCTTAAATATGGACGTGTTCATCTTGAAATGCATTAATCAATTGAAATGATTTTTTCCGCTCTCTGCTCCTCTACAGGAGGCCTCCAAGGCGGTGCAGCCCCAGCTTTTGGGTCGCATCATCGCTTCGTTCGACCCCTTCCACGCCCCGGAGCGAAGCCAGGGATATTTCCTGGCTCTTGGTCTGTGTCTCCTCTTCACTGCTCGCTTCCTGCTGCTACAGCCTGCCATCTTCGGCCTGCACCACCTGGGTATGCAGATCCGCATCGCCCTCTTCAGTCTCATTTACAAGAAGGTAAAAAAAAAAAACCAGTGTGTAAACACCATCCAAACACTGCCCCCCCCACGTCCACACCGTCACAGCTGAACTTTTTCCGTGTACTCCCTGCAGCCCCTGTGGGTGGCCCCCGCCCCCCACCTTTAGACCCCACTGGTCTAAATGAATACATTGTTAAAAGAACTCTGTTGTCATTGGTTCATTCTAAAACAGATACTGAGAAAAAAACCCTTTAAACACAACTTAGAACAACACGTGCTGTGTGACCATGTGACCAGTGACAGTGAAACACTGACACAACACTTGGCTTTGATGTTAACAACTAGCAACAAAGATGAAGCTGGTGTTTCAGCTGCAAAATCAAACTGGAAAAAAAAAATGCAACACAACAAAGATGAAGCTGGTGTTTCAGCTGGAAGATCAAACTGGAAAAGAAATGCAACAAATGTTTATCAGTCAGTTTGTTTTTGTTCCTCCTCTTTGAACAGAAAAAGTTACAAAAAGTCTAAAAACAAAATCACTTCTACTGTAATAAAGGAACAGAGTTTATGGACCTCATTAAAAAAGATCCAGATGTTGACGTCGCAGCTCCTCAGCTCAGGGATCACGCCTGTCGTTTTGTCATCCTGCTGCAAAGACTCCCACAGGCTGGTGTCAGAAGTTTGGTCACATGTGGCTCCTGCCGATCCTCTGCCGATTCACTGGTCTCACTTTTGTGCTTCGTCTGACCTCCTGACCTTTGACCTTTGAACTTTTCAGACCCTGAAGTTATCCAGCCGCGTCTTGGATAAAATCAGCACGGGTCAACTGGTCAGTCTGATGTCAGCCCACCTGAACAAGCTGGACGAGGTGAGGAACGTAGGGCTCGTGGCCCTAAAGTGGGACACCAGGTGGAATAAGAACCAACCGTGCAGGACGGAACAGGTTTAGGTTTGAGGTTGGCTGCAGTGTGGTCCACCTGCCAGAGTGGGGCACTAAATATGGGCTTCATCACTCATTAGAGTGGGGGGGTGGGGTAGGGGGAGGGCACGTGTGTGTGTGTGTGTGTGTGTGTGTGTTGAATCTCACCGAGCCGATGAATGTAGGAACGCACTGCCACCTGCTCTGAGACAATTATCTCCAGGCTTGGACGTATCGCCTGGTTGTCTGACTGTTTGTGGTCTTTTCCCGATGAAAGACGTCGAGTTGATGTTTGATAGAAGTGTCGTCACAGTGTGTGATCTGACAAGTGACTGCTTTTTTTCTAGGGCTGTCATTGATTAATCACAGTTAAACATCTGTTTTCATGGTTAGAATCCTTGTTTATACAGCAGCGACGGTGTCTCTGTTGTTGACACGGTGTAAAGTGAAGTTTTGGTTTCAGTAACAGAGCAGACCCAGAAGGTTGTTTTTTTTTTTTATGTTCGATCCTGAACTTTTGACCAAAATCCTGAGTATGGTATCGAGCCGTCCTTAATCCGTACGTGGTCCTGTATATTTGTCTTTTTTGTCTCCTCTCGTTTTTAGCTTATTTTGGCTCATATTTAATATATGATTTTAACTCTTTAAAGCACTGGGTGGTTTTTACCTGTCAAAAACAAAGCACTGGGTGGTTTTTACCTGTCAAATACAATGATATTATTATATACATGGTTATTAAATTCATCTTTTTTTGACTAATATGAACTAATACTAACGTTTCTGTTCCAGAGTCTGGGTCTGGCCCACTTTGTGTGGATCACTCCCCTACAGTGTATACTGTGCGTGGGCCTGATATGGGAGCTGATCGAGGTGAACGGCTTCTGTGCCCTGGCGGCTCTGACTCTGCTGGGCATCATCCAGGCCTGGCTCTCACAGAAGATGGAGCCTCACAGGTGAGGAGGAGCCACACTTTATCATTCATTAATTTAATTTAATTTATTTAATCCCCTCTCCTTTGACTAGGGTGAAGCGAGCCGGGATGATCAGTCGCCGTCTGGCTCTGACGTCTGAGATTGTGGAGAACATCCACTCTGTGAAGGCGTACGGCTGGGAGGAGGTGATGGAGACCATCATCAAAAACATCAGGCAGTAAGACTCCACTCATTACCTTGTACTCCTGAAGTCATTGTCCGGGTCAGAAAGACAACGATTCACACTCACATTCACACCTACTGTAAGGCCAACCCACAGACGCACAGGCAGAACATGTCGTTTCATACAGATAGACTGGAGATCAAACCGTTTCTCCAACCACGCGCTCCCAAAACACCAGCATCAGTCTGAGGATTTATGACAGATAAATATACATACCATAATAAGACGAGCGGGAAAAACACCCACTCAGCCGACGCCTGCAGGAATTCATTCAGCCTGGTGCCAAAATTCAGAGAGAGATGTTAGAACAAGGTCAGTGCGGCGCAGTTGGCACGGAAGGTTAAAATCCAAGAAACAGTTTTGATGCAGTGGTGTCGAAATATTCAAGTAGTATCAGAGATAAAACGGGAACGTTCAGATTTCACAGGAAAGTGATGATAACAGCAGGATCATAATTGGGCGAAAATATATTCTGTGATGTCAAGGACCGACCACATGTGTATAAATAGATAGAAATAATTCTTTTTTTCCACTATAAGCCTGGGTTGATCATAATTGGGCGAAAATATATTCTGATGTCAAGGACCGACCACATGTATAAATAGATAGAAATAATTCATTTTTTTCCACTCTAAGCCTGGGTTTACTCAGGTGCGACTTATATATTAAAATATATAATTTCATATGTTCATTATTTTTACACTGACAGCCACTAGAAGACACTGGTGCGTCTTATATTCCTGAAAATACAACTGTACCACTAGAAGACACTGGTGCGTCTTATACGTCTTATACAACTGTATTTTTTTTTGTCTTTTCACTCTTTTCTCAGGGATGAGATGACGCTGACGAGGAAGATCGGATCGCTGCGTTACTTCTACAGCGCCTCCTACTTCTTCTCTGCCATCCTGGTCATCGTGTCGGCCGTCGTGCCCCACGCTCTCAGTAAAGGCATCATCCTGAGACGAATCTTCACCACTGCCTCCTACTGCATGGTCCTGAGAATGACGCTGACGCGGCAGCTGCCCGGCTCCATCCAGATGTGGTACGACACGCTGGCGCTGGTCAAGAAGATAGAGGTAGGTCCAGAGAGAAGAGGTCACTGATAACAGACACATTTACTGGGATTTAAGATAAAATCTCCCTCCTTGGGTTTGCTGTATGTTTCAGTGGGAAAGCGTTCAGGTTGATGTTTCTGTTCCTGTTTTTACTCTTCACAGGAGTTCTTAATGAAGGAGGAATACAGAGAGCTGGAATACAACCTCACCACCACCGACGTGGAGCTGGTCAACGTTTCTGCGTCCTGGGATGAGGTACAGCAGGATCATAATGATAATAATAATATAAAAATTATTATTATAATGTTGTTTTGTATCATTTTCACTGGTGCTTCAACATGAGGGACGATTGAACTTCTTCCTTTCTTTAATGTATTGTTGGTATTTAATGTTTAAAACCCTCTATTTTATAAAAATCACTTGAACAATGTTCAGTCTTCAGACATGAATGAAACAAAGTTTTTAGTTTCTCCCCACCATCAGGCTGCAGCTTCTCCTCTCAGAGCTCAGAAATATTGACACAGCTTTTAGTAATCTCTAAGTCTGTGTAATTGAGCTGAGAAATATGAATGTTTATTAATAATTACCATCATGAATTCTGAAAACGACCTGGAAGTCGACGTCTGACGCAGTTAAATGCGTCTGTATTTTTTGAACAAATTTAACAAATCTGGAAAATTCTGCCTCTTTGTTTAAATGTAATTTATTTGTGCAGATAAAATCAGGGAAACTCGGACCAAACATGTTGGTTTTCTTTGTTTGTACGAGTTCATTCTTCAACAGGTCAGAGCAAAAATAAAGAATGAATTCCACTAGTAATTCCACTCTGCACCACAGGTTGAACACGTCACCTACTGTCACTCACAGTAGGTGGCGTTATCTTATCTATAGGCTGTAAACCTACTCCAACAGGTGTAATTCATTGACCACCCAGTACCGTGAGAAAACAACCACCCAGCTGTGTGTGTGTGTGTGTGTGTGTGACTTTTTTCTATCACTTTGCATAATTAATTGCCCCCGTGTTCTCAGCAAACCTTCCTGGGAACACCAAATCCCTGCTTTGACATCCAGAGCTGTGTTCACAAACTAATTCCTCGATTCTCCTCCTGCTTTCTCCTCTTCCTGGAATGTGTCATTGGTAAATGAATGGGGGGAGGGAGGGGGGGTGTTGACTTTCTTTACTGCCGACGGTGCGTACGTCAGCTCATTAGAATGAGAATCAAACAGACAGACCACGGCCGGTCCCAGCATCACGGGGAGGGCGACCCGTACCACGTCAGGGGGTCAAACACTGGGCCAGGGAATCTACCAGTGACATGTGTCGACGTCGGCCTTTACAGAGACAGTGACAGACGAGCTGGACTCAGGCCTCTGTGGAGGCTGTGGGAGGTTCGTGCTCCTGGGGAGACTCTCTGTTGGAGCTGTCAGGACAAATGTTAAATGATGGAAAAAGAAGTGGAGAGACGTGTCACGAGTTGGACTCACTTTCAAACATATTGTATTTTATTCCAGTGGCGATCCTAGCTGTTTTGTGTGTGAATAGGCCCAGGGCCCCCACGGCCCCCAGGGCCCAATGACATTGGTTTATATTATATAACATCAATCCTTAATATACCAGTTGATAGTAAATATATACCACACAGTGGTAACAAAATACATGTGTTGATCATTGATGACAGTTAAGTTTTTTCACTGCCGGTTTCTGTTGTATTTTCCCGCTGCAGGGCATCGGTGAGCTGTTTGAGAAGATCAAGCAGGAGAGCAAAGCAAACGGACATCCAAACGGTGACGCCGGGCTCTTCTTCACCAACCTTTACGTCACGCCCGTCCTCAAAAACATCAGCCTTTATTTGGAGAAGGGCAAGATGTTGGCAGTGGCTGGATCCACCGGCTCAGGAAAGGTAAAAGGTCAAAGAATCGTCTCTGCCGACATCGGCTGCAGCGGAGGGAACGTTAAAGAAGATGAACCAACGTTTCCCTCTCCTTCTAGAGCTCCTTACTCATGATGATCCTGGGAGAGTTGGTGCCGTCGGAGGGGAAGATCAGACACAGCGGCCGGATCTCGTTCTCACCACAGACTGCGTGGATAATGCCCGGAACCATCCGTGACAACATCCTGTTTGGGCTGACCTATGACGAGTTCCGCTACACTTCCATCATCAAGGCCTGTCAGCTGGAGGAGGTAGGTCACTGAGGTCACTGAGGTCACTGCTCATACCAGTAGTCAGAGCCTTAGAGTGAAGGTGAAGGATAAACATGACTTTTAGATCGGGGAAATTCACAAACTTTTATTTTAATACTGCAGACTGGTTCACTTTAATGGAAGAGAATTCAGGAATTAGTTTGTGTAAAAACCCTGTCTTGTAGGGGGCAGGGGGATTTAAATGCACATGTTCATTGGTTCTCAAAGTGGGGGACGTGGCCCACTGCGGGGCACAGCACTGCTGCTGGAACGGTGCAGAAAATCAAATTAATTTTAGGTTCAATATTTTCTTACCTTAAGAGAAAATACATTTTAAAAAATATTCAGAGCTAACACCAGAGTGTCACGCTCTAATAATGGATTAAACAAAATAAGGTACGTTTGAGGTGGAATTCAACACAAACTAATAATTAAAGTAAGATGTTAACGATCGCTACAGGAGCAGCAACGATTGTCAGGAAATACAAAAAGAACTGACTGTAACTGTGTCTCTATCCTGAGGCTGTGCTACAGGAGTTCGATTCCCTGGGTCTAAAGTGACCTGTTATGTATCTGACACTGACACTAAAAACCCACACACACACAAACACACACAAACACACACTCCCTTATGAGCTTCAGTGCTGAGTGACGGCCCCTCAGTAGAATAATGTCTCCTCTGTTGTCATGGAGATCTCAGCTGTTTCACTGGGACAGAATATGAGCTTCAGTTTCATTTGGCTCCAAGTGATGACATCACAACAAAGTAAAGGTCATGTTCGCGGTCTGATCAGGCCTTATTGATTATTATTGATTATTATTATCCTATTCATATGAATCTTCAGCCGTTTTTCCCCAAAAATTCTTATGCTAATATCGGGCCGATAATTATCGGTCGGCTGATGTTATGTTACGTAACGCATTGTAATGTAATGTTTACATTACGGAGTTAAAAGTAAACAGTTTCCTTTAACTTCACTGCTTCTCATTGGACGAGGTTGATGACTGTATGTATATAAACGTGTTGTGTCGCTAAACATAACGTAACCCAATGCAACGCTTTTTGTAACCTAACCTAACGTGACGTAACGTCACATGAGCTAATGTGACGTAACGTCACAGAGTAACATGACATACCATTTCCAACATACTGCAGTACAACAACAGTAGTACACGATCCAGTATTAGATACTGACGTTGTTAAACCCA